TTATCGTCTCGATTCATCGTCAAACACCAGAAAGCTGTGAAAAAAGTCAGTGAAAAGATTTCTAGGGCTCAAGATAACATCATCAAATGTCTTTTTTTGTCCAAGCAACAGTTCAAAACCAAAAGATAGTCAATTTACTTTAATGTTAAACAAGGCAAAGCAGCCAACTCCCTACTGTAACGTGGACACCATAGGCAAACGCTGAATATGGCCCATCAGAGGACACCAGTCTAAACGTGTCCATGTCCACATATCCCTGACTGAAGTATGAATAGAAATGCATCTGAGTCCACTGTCGGCATCTGTCCGAGGGAAAGTGAAAACCTTGAATTGACATTAATGCTGTCTAACACTTATATACAACATGGATTTTTCCCCACAGCAATGGATTTGCAGGGAGCCTTACTGGTCATCATTGAATGAGAATTCAAAAATCTGCCACTGCCTCATTTTTTGTTTTAATTTGTAACTTTGCTGGTAAGCAATGGGACGGTATTAATGCCTCTTTTTTTCTCGTACCATCATGCACAGGGTGGGTAATCATTTCCTTGAAGGTCAGACAAAATACAGAGCACAGTCAGTAGAGCCAATATGAGGTTATGATCATGTGCTACAAGCCTAAATATAGCATTATTCATGTGAGATATTGTATCACATGATAGGGCGCAAAGAAAGTCCTTTTAGACAACATTGTTTTATGAAACTGAGATGCCTGGCAGAAAAATGAATGGGAATACTAGCTCAATCTAGCTAAGTCTCCAGTTGTTCAGCTGTTCCTTGATGCATTATTGTGGATTCTGTCTGCCTACATGGCCACGGGGCAGCGCTGAGAAAAACCTACTTTGTGTGCATAGCTGTCTCCTTACGTCATGGTAAGGCTTATGGGAAGTACTCATATGCATTCCCTGGAGTGTCTGACTCTGGATGTTTGTATCAGTGTGTTATATCTAAGCTTGCGAACATGAACATTTGTGCTCACGTACATTTCATTAAACCACTGGAGTTGTGTCTAGGTTGTCTGGATCATTTCTTTTGAACATACACTGTGCAAAACGACACAAAAGCAAAAACTACCGCACATTCTTCCACATACTGTACAGTAAAGTGACACATCCCCCCTCCATTCCAGTCTTGTCTCCCCTCTAACCTTTATGAGGAAGTGTGACGCAGTTGGGTTCAGAACTTCTATTGGGGCTATTTAATATTGTCTTCCTGTGGGGACAAACAAATGGCACTCCATGGGAGGGGTGTAGCTCCACTGCCTGCCATATATCTACAATAATGTAAGCTTTAAGGGGAAATCCAACCGACTGTACACATCAAATTCTTTTTACAGGTCTTGGGGATCACAATTACATATGAGAAAAAAGTGTTTCCAGAGGGAGTTGCATGAAATCTGGTTGTGTGGAATTAAAAAGAAGTGAGTTTACAAGACGTCTGCAGTCTGCTCCTCAGCTCTCCTTGAAGCCTACAAGCTACATTAGGCACTATAAGCATAACACGCCTGAATGTCTAGTTGCATTGTGGGTAATATAGACACCAAGTTTTAACAAGGAAGAATTGAGAAAAAAAAGGGGCAATATCTTTGGTTCCACTGCATTGATTTGAATGTTTTTTTCCATCCATCCAGTAGCTATACTGTAACACTCATCCTTTGAGGGTAACGGGAGGGCTGGAGCCAATCCCGGCTGACCATGGGCGAGAGGAGGGGGTACACCCTGGACAGGTTACAAGTCTGTCACAGGGCTTTTTCCCCCAAACTGTCCATCATGACCACAACAATCTTTCAGAAGTGTAACGAAAAACTCAGAGAATTCTTCAAATCATATCTCAGAAAGTTAGCAGTCTCATTTCTGCAAAAAAAATGTCACAAAACTGTAGTTAAGTCAATCTGATGTTAAGTCTGGAAGTGACAATGTACTTGACTAAAAATATGGACAGCAATCTTTTTCAACCTATTTGTCCGGATTGTTTGTTTGTCCCTTTAGAAAAGGACACAGTAAGATAGGCTACATGGAGACTCACTGCTGTCCCCACCTGTTGAGTCTTGAGTCTCAAGACAAATCTTGACACCTTAAAACTTTCCCAAGCTGAAACAAAATATCTGGTAAGTATCACAGCATCATCTGAACTCAGAATAACTCAGTGATGAAACTGGTGGTGTGATGACTAATTTCTTGCTCTTGTTTACGGTCCAATACGAAAGCTCCTGAGGACAAAGAGGGGAATAATGGTTTCCAGTGTTCTCACCCCATCAGCCACTGAGAAGACCCTCTCTCCTTTTAACCCATACAACAAAGATCAAAGAGAGAACATCACCGTTCCCCATCTCTCCTTCACGGTTTTCCTTCTTTCATTGACACTTCTTCTCTAACAGATACAGCAGCCCATATGGAAAAAATGTCTTAGTAAAAAGTCATCACTGGTAGGTCTTTTCGCGCTGTAGCAAAATCAGCTGGCTTCATGGTGTAGTGGTGTACATGATGTACATTGTCAGACTCCAGCCTCACTAGGTGGTTGATTCAAATATACAATTTTCAATCAATGACAAATCTCCCAAACTGGTGGAGCAGGCAAACTAATGAGGCACAGCCAAATTTAGCTGTATCTGATTGGCATAGATTTTCCAACCCTTGTTGTTTCTGGCACACAGTTAGTGTAAAGGCACTTTTACATTTGTTTAGTGAGTAAGCAGCCTAGCCAGGGGACATCAAGGCACCAAGACTAGAATTAGACCTGGTTGAAGTGGCAAACGAATCCAGCACAAAGCATTTAAAAGCAGTCAGATAACATGCTGCATTTAAGCAGCACAATTAAACACAGACTGTGGCTCATTTTATTACTAACACGTGCTGGGGTTCATGACTTCCTGACAGAAATTAAAGGGCAAAAGAAAAAAACAGATAAAGGCACAGTCAGTGGAGACAATGTGAAATGTGTACTGTGACATGCCAAAGATAAAATGTTGTAGAGCAACAAGCAATTATTCTTGACACTAACTGGCAATTATTTTCTTGAATATTAGTGTGATCTAAAGTTTTAGAAAACACTGATGATAGTTCACCACAATTTTCTAAAGCTCCATTCCTGATGGTGATGTCAATGTAAATTGTTTTGTTTGAACAAAGTCCAAAGATATTCCATTGACAATGATATCAAACAGTGAGAAGCAACAAATCCTCACTTTCAAGAGGCGGGACCCAGAGAATATCTGTGATTTTTCTTGAGAAATTACTTGATTTGATTGATTTGATTATCAAAACACATGCCAATTATTTTCATATTACAAATTGAAACTGATGACTTGTTGATTAATCAACTAATTATTTCACCTTGAAAATACTTGTCATTCTGCAATAAGGCTGTGAGCAGACCTGAGGAAAAATACTTAACCTAGATACAACTCAATGCCAAAAAGATGTTTCTTTTTCATCTTGAGTGACTAAAGAAAAAAGAAAGGAGCACATCCTGCACAACTGAGCGCATAGTCGACAGCAGAGTAAGCTACAGGTAAACAAAAATGTCAACACCCTCTAAATCCCGTGTGAACATGAATTCTCATGTGAGCCTGTATTTAAACATCATTCATAAACAACACACCTTGCTCATTTATAATGCAATGGCGGAAAAGGCCAAATATAGGTGATATGGTTGATGGAGGAGGGCAAACAAGGACTGTCGAGCGTTTAGTTGGCATTTTATGGTGTCAGGGAGTCCTCCACTCACACATAATAAGAGGAACACCGGTTCCTCTTACTGTGTGTGTATTCACCTGCATGACAGCACTAGCACCCACATTTCTGAACTGTTTGCAACGCCACACCTGCATGTCAACTGATACACAAACCTCACTCCGACTTAAATGTCACAAACTCTTTTGGAACAACGGCTCACTAAGTTCAAAGGTATGTATTTCATTATGCTCATCTGCCTCCTCATTTCCCATCACACTCCTTGTCAGAAGAATTTCAAAATAAAAGTCAAGTAGATGTCTTACTTGATAGTGTCACTCAACACTTACTGACTCTTGACAGCAAAGCAAAATCAATAACATAATGCGTAAATGCTACATCAGGAAATCATGGGTGTTTTCCCTCAGCGTTCAACTAATCCTTGTGAAATGCAAAGTAAGAGGTCTTCCTGCTTTCATACAGTAACCAATACCAAATGGGAGTTGGGAATGATGTGTGTATAATATGTGTGGTTTTATAACACACACCACTATTGTGTCTTGCATGTACTCGCTGCATCTCCACACGCAAGACTTTGTAAGACCAATGGACCCACGTCATGGTGAACACAACACATTACAGTACAACACCAAGGTGACTGAGCTCTACTGAAGCTCTGTGCATCTCTCCAAAACCAGAAGGTGTCCCATTGTACATTATTAACAAGAGACAAACTATCCGTTTCCAATTCAACTGAGTGGTTGGTGGTTCCTCACAGTGGGGTTCTGGGGCCACCAAAGGTCTTCAAGAAGCCTCCTGAGAGTCAACGAGCACATCAGGAATATTTCACCCACCATCACAACATGTTAATGCCTGTTATAATGGTGTCACTTGACCACTTTACAGACATGTCATTTTGTATTTATTTATATCTTAATAACCTGTTTTCTAGTGGATTTTTATTTTATCTGCAGTCTATGAGTGTTTTAATAAATGTGATCTAATAAACAATATTATGTTTATGTTTCCTAATTACCTAATAATTTGACCTCTTCAGCCTATTAAAAAAATCTTTCAAATCTGAAGAGAAAAAATCATTCTTAGACTAAATCTCCCACAACTAAAGTCATGTGATGAGAAGTCACAAGCAGATATTGCTCTATTTAAAGCCATAAAATTGGTAACCACTGATCTAATTTATTTATTTCAGTTGTATAAATACCTTGTTAAAAGATCATCCAAGATACTGTCAGAGAGAAGAGGTTGTAAGCCAATTCACATACAGTTAAATTAGGTCATGAATGCAGGTTTGCAACTTCATCAACTTACTTGTATCGAGTCGTTCGCCATCGTTGTCTCTGTTGCTCTGTTTTCAGCCTGTGCAGTTTCACAGACAACCTGTGCACATGTGGTTATTTGTCCCTCAGGTCAGCGCACTGTCTCCTTTTCGTGACAATAAAATAAAATGATAGTTGGAAAAGAATTGGCTATTGGTCCTGTGAATGTTATCTCAACTTTATACAAACAGTCTGTATTGACACAAAGGCAAACAGTCAAGAGGTAATCCGCATTGTTGGCTTGCCTGGCCGCGCCTGAATTGATCCTCCCAGCGCTTTTCAATGTGTTTGACCAACGTTAGCCCTCACTTCACTCACATAAAAATGCATTCACTTATTTATTTTTTTTTGAAGACTGGTCATTCGCATTAGAGCATCCACACAAAACTACTGAGCTGCAGACTCATTGTCCATCTTCTTCTGTGGGTGCTTGCCATTCAACAGCTAGCAAGAGCCCCATAAAATCCGCCAGCAGCGGCTCCTCCGTCATGTCCTGCTGAAACAGACAACACGAAATGAGAGAAAGACCCTTCTTCCCTCTCTGCTTTTTCCCGGTAACATCCGTGAAACACGAACACGCCTCAGTCTCTGGTCTGTATCACATGCCACACACACAAAAAAAAGCCGCTTGTCAGTCCTCCAGCAGCCGCTCACACAGTCACAACGAGGGACAATAGAAAGATAATCTGTCCATTAAATATCCCGCTAGCTGGAGTCAAAAACGCTCAAACAAAAAAAAAGACGTCTTTCTTCGATGTGGGTTAAGACGGCATCTCATCACATTCAAACAGCGGCTAACTGACGGGAGAGGAGCATATACACACACCACTTGTAAGCCAGACCCAGCTGCGCGCCCCCGACGCTCGAGCGATGCCGCCCGGGCGTTTATTGGTCCGGGGCCGGGCGGCGAGGGCGCGCCCGGATGTATCATGTGACCTGCACTAGCTGTTGCTGTTAACTGTAACTTCTAATAAACCAACTGTTGAATATGTCAAGTTAATGAGGACGACAGAGCGCTATACTCAGTGGTAGAAACAGTAAACTAGTAATGTTGCTATGTAAAAAATAGTCTGCTGCAAGTAAAAGTCCTTTAAAACTTTATTTCAGTTAAAGTTCATGAATGTATCAAAATGGCTTATTTTAGAGGCAGTATATTATTAGGGCGCATGTACTGTATATTATTATGTCAATACATTACAGTGTTTAGATTATTTATACTGGTGTATTAATAGGTATTCAGCATTTTAATATTGTTGCTTGATGAGGTGGAGCTATTAACTAGCATTTAACTACTTTACATAATGTGGGATAGTCTCATCTACAGCAGTGTATTTTATTCTATGAGCTTATTATTTATTTTCTGAGGGCAGGGTGATTTGGTTTCAGTATAATATGAGTCATAACAGGGCCAGCCTCACTGATAACAATTCCTATATTGATAGTTTTTATTGTTAAAAGCAGCTAATGTGTAAGGGAGATACATATGTTGTGATTTATGAAGTGAATGCATTGCTAATAGGCTACATCAGAATATATTTAAATTACCACCAAATAATTTGCCAACGGTGAGTCATTTCTTTTTACTATTCTCTGTTAATTACTTAATCACATGACATTTTTCTAATGGTAAACAATAAATGCAAAATAACAAAGAGGTCATCACTGCATACATGAACACAAGAGCAGCAGAGTTGCTCCAAATATTGCAGCACTAAGGAGAGCATTTATGTGCCCAGGATACTAGTATGGACACTCAACACAAGACTTCATATCAGTAGTATCAATAATCTGCAAAGCAACTAGTGACTACAGGTACAACAATCAGGTAAATGTAGCATAAACAAGTGTCTGTAGTCATACTAATGGCTCTGTGAGAACCTTGCAATGAGCAGCTCCAATAATGACAACGCAAGTCTGTTGATGTTAAGCAGGTATAATGTTTACCCTGTTCACTGTCTTAGTTTATTGTGTTAGCTTGCTACTTACAGCTGAGGCTGAAGGGAGTGTCATTAGTTATTGGTATTTGGTTATAAACCAAAGTACTGGACAAGTTAAATTTTTGACCCACTGATGTCACTACATGAAAAGTCAATGGCTCACCAAAGTCATTAGGATTTATCCTCTGGGAACCATAATGTCTGTACAAAATTTGGTGCCAAGTCATCTGATAGATGCTGAGAATTTTATTAGGATAAGTGAAAACTTATCCTATTAATTGTCCTGTTGGTGGCAGAGGAGTAAAGGTCATAAGTCAGCATTATTCATCTTCTTGGGACCATGAATGTCCAATAATTGTTGAAACCTTTCAGTCTGGGCCAAAGCAGTGGGTTGACAGTGCCAACCACAGGTCCTTCTTATGGTGGTGCGAATAGGTGCCTTTAGTAGATTTGATAGAGAAATTGAACTGGACCACATTTGCATAACTGATTTGCAAAATGAAAATTTGCCAGCAGAAAGATAAGAAGGAAGCAGGAACAGAGAATAACCCCCAGCACTCCAGGAGACATACTACATATCCTATACATAGCGTGGTAATCATCATGATAAGTTGACCAGTTGTTCTTAATTGTTCAAATTTTCAAACAATGATTTCTGTCCTGTTGTCAGGATGTTTGGACTAAATATTAGTTTTGAGAATTTAACATCAAACTGCAATGCTGTCTTTGTTGGTTAGTAAAAACTTTTAAAGATAATTGAACAGTCTTGACAACAAAATGTTTCATATCGTACATGCCAAAGAGTGTATTATGCAAATGTTTGTGTTGAATATTTTTTATATGTTAATGCCAGTATAACAAACTGCCTTTATAAATCTCAACAAAACATATGCTAGCTATGATACTTTATATGGCTAACTACAGAGTGTAAAAATTTCTTCTGATCCACCTTAGATACCAGGATGTTATACTTAGAACTTTGTGAGAAATTAAACATATACAATAATAAAACAAAGAAATTTCGTTCTTGTACAACTGAGACTAAATACCATCATTTGCATCAGTGCATTAATTTATATTTTTTTAATTTGGGGAAATAGGATGTTGCCAACATCTGAGATTTCTACTTATATGGCTAATGCATAATAATTATGTCACTATGGGCATTGCAGATTGCTATAACACCATGATAATAAACAAGTATTGGCTAAATAATTGGTATAATGATGGTTTATTGAATCAATGCACTGATAATTCTTTCAATTACTAATTTAGGCCATTACAAGCATTCAAAAGCGCCCAATACAGTTTTCCATAAACCAACCTGACATTCATTTAGATTTGAGAAGCGAAAACATGCGAATATTTGGCATTTTTGCTTGATAAATGACTTTAGCAGTTGTTCAGTTATTAAAATAGTTGTGCATTATTTTTCTGATCATTAATCGACAAGCTAAACTGTTCAGTTTCAACTCTAATCTAATTAGACCATTTTTTATTTATTATTTTGCTCCAAACATTAGTTTTGATATTTTCTGTATGGGAAACCCCAAAGAAAAGCTAACATTACTGATAAAAAATAAAACTTTTAATCATATTTTGTTGTTTTGTTATTGAGATGCAGCAACCTTTGACCTTTCACGCCACACCTCCATGAGGAAAGGTAAAGTTAGCTTAACCGCTAGCTAGGTAGCTACTTAACGGTAAAGTCAGCACGACTGTTAGTAAAATATTGTGACCAACAGACTGCAGCGTGGTTAGATATTTAACTGTCATGTGGATTGATTGAGTCAACAACTGACAACTGTACAGTTCTTATTTGAAGTTTGTTTCTTTGTTTGAACTTGGGTGTATTGCTAGCATCGCTAGCATTACCGTTAATTAGCTAACGGGTAATACAGCTAACGGGTCATACAGTGAATAACAGCTTCAAAATAATCAACTAATGTTGAGTTTTATTATCAACAACAGGTTTACTAAGAAATACCGACTTATCTACAGCAGAAAACATGACAGATATCGAAGGCCAAATTGAGCTCCAGCTCGAAAACTCAGCGCCCATGCAACAAGCGTTTGGGGGCCGACTTCAAGAGGACATGAGCGGGGAGAGGCAGTCAGACTTCAGGGAGGGTAAATAAAATACCAGCCAACAAGGTCAAAAATGTATCCTGTATGTGTGTCGACTTTCTAACATAAAAGCTAAATTCTGCATACCTTGACGTTAATGATTTAAATTAAAAAAACACATTTTCTACAATCCTTCAAGACACCGCTGCTTGAAATAATTTGGAAATTAACGCTGTTTGTGTTTTAAAATGGTTAAGTTTCCTCCTGATGTTTATAATATATTGCAGAGCTGGATGAGCCGCTGTCGTTGTTGGCTGACGTTGCTCTGGCGCCACTCCGCGGTAAACATGCAGCCTGCAGCTGTGACTGTGAGGCCTGCAGCTGCCTGGAGGTTAGACACATGGCGAGGAGCCTCCAGTCTATGCAGCTGCAGCTCCAGTTCCTCATGAGCAAAGCAGATGACCTACACAACTGCCTTGTGAATGGGTAGGGTTTCTGGTAACTACACAATGCACTGATTTCATCTGGGTTTTTTCTGATTTTCAAGGAAATTCTTCTTTGTGTTCTGGCAGACAGGGTCATTCAGACAGAGACGCTCTTGCTGCTGCGGTACCAAGTTTCCTGTACACCTGTCAGCCTTACTTTAACCACCTGGAATCCACAGCTAGGACCACTGTGTCCCAGCACACCCCTCTGCCTTATGACATCTACACAAGGGTAAATGTTTTTATAGGGATTTTCTCACAACTAGGATGTTGCTGATAGTTCTGGTTTTATGTAGTCGGGTGTTGGAACAGACATTTCAACTACCTTCTACTGAAAAAAATGGTTTATAAAGCCAGATGAGAGGGAGGTCTGCTGGATTTATTTAAATGTCATTTTTCAATGCTCTGCTCCATAAGCTTCCATTAACCTTCATTGTATCAGGGTGGTAACACAATCTGACCTAAGAAAATAAAACCATAACTGTTCAGCTAAACACAACTAGAAGTAAGTGTGAAAATATACATATGTATCATCTACTATGTAGTACTCCAGGTAGCTTCATTCAGTTATATTTTGAATGAAGCTACCTGTGACACACAACTAGCTTCAATACTCATACTGTATGCCTTACTTTGATTGAAAGCAACAGACACATACCCTCTCTCAAAACCTAATGAATGGCACCCTGAGAAGAACTCAGAAATTACACTTTGGTTTAACAAATCATGAAAAAAAACCCTCTTCCGATGCACGTCACATTGCAGACCACAGAGAACATACACTATTACAATGTATGTAAGCACTGTGCACTGTGTTGATGAATTTGGTTGTCTGATATGGTCAACTGCCTCAGAATAATTTAGATCTGTTCCTTATCCAGTTGTTGGAACAAACAGTATCCTAAAGCAGGGCATATCTTTTGCTGAATGAGAAGACCATTTGTGTTCACTGTATGAAATCATCATGGTTTAACCGCTACAATCTGACTCTAACTTCGACAATGTGCGTGTGTGTGCAGCTGCTAGACTTCTCTCAGCAGCTGTGTGACAGGTTGGAGCAGCTGGTGTTAACCTACGCCAGCCACAATCTCCTCTGTTTAGATGAAAGTGAGCCTAACAGGTATACACACACACACACACACACACACACACACACACACACACACTCTTAAACACACACACACTCTGAAACACACACACTCTTAAACACACACATGCAAACACACACACTCTTAAACACACACACACACACAGAGGAACACAGGTTTCTACTAATAACAGTGTGTCCTAATTTGTTAAAAAAAAATTTGTTGTTTTTGTGTTTGGAAAAAATCACTGTTACAGTAGCACAAATGCAACATAACAGACATAAATATATACATTAAATTATTCAATTTCAACAAAACAGTTACTTGTGCCACAGTTTGTTTCATGTAAATGATTTTATTTCCTAATTTCTGTTAAAAATGTTTCATGTAACTAGCAAAAGATTGGCCAAGTAAAGTTTCCGTACAATATCAGGCCATTGCTCTTTTCCTGGAAGCTCAACCTCATGGTTATCCTTTAATAAATGCTTGACAGGTTTCTCTTTCTTGTATAGCCTCCTCAATACTCCCTAGGTGCATCACAGCACAGTCGTGTGATTTCAGTCCTTACAAATTTTGCTTGGTATTTTTATTAGCATAAATTTCCCTAAAATGTTCATTCACCCATTTAAATTGGTATTTTCTGTGACTTTTGCTAGTATAACTAGCACTAAGTTCTCTGCAGGTATCAGTCAGTTTTACTGTCTAATTCTCTCCACTCTTCTGTCTCCATTTCCAGCGTGTCTCACTTCTGCATCGGTCAGAGTCAGCTCAGCCGACTGAGGCTGACAGTGTTCCGCTACTGTAAACCGACACCATACCTGGCCCGGGTCGACACCGGCCTGTACAAACGAATGCGATGGAATGTGGAGAGGCTCCAAGACAAGCAGCAGCAACAGGCAGAAGAAGAGCAGGGTGGAAACAATGAGGAGAGGGAGGCAGAAATAGTTGGAGACACAGAGTAGTGAGTCTGGATGATACAGTTTCTCCACCTACTATTACCTCTGTCAAAGCGCTGATGAGTATCTTTTTTCGAAAAACCCTTCTGCTAATATGACATCACACTCAGTAATTTCTAATTGTCAACTTATTCTCTTACTTTCAAACTCAATCTTACTACAAACTCTTTAACCTTACTGCTGTGTTTTTGTCCCTTTAAGTTACTTCCTGTGCTATGAGGATATTCCCAACATACATGCAGAGGCTGATGGCGGCGGCCAGGGCGTCTCTCATGGTAACATGGCAAGGATATGGTCCATCGGTCAGTGGGTGCAGGTGAACCCAGACCCCGCCACAGAGGACATCTATGACTGGTACACTTATTTACATTTCTTTGTTAATTTCTCTGTAGATGCTTTTACCTTGAGATTTCTCCATGCTCAGGGTCGGGAGTAAAATAGCAGAGAATGATAACTGCTAAATCCTGCAAAAGAAAGGCACTCCTCACATTAAAAAAGTCCATTGCATTCCAGCTGCACCCAGGATCCTCATTAGTATATCTGACACAGCTTCTCTGCATAGGTTGTCTGACTCTATACATTTGTGTGTGTTCATGTTTCAGGATCATATGTGAGGTTCCTCAGGCCAGCTATCAGAGGCTGTTGTTCCTGGGCAGTGATGAGCCGTCTAGCTGCAGTGCTACAGACTACCTGCAGCAGCTGCTGTTGTCACACCAGACAAAAGACTGACGGGAGGCCCTGTAGGAGGAGCGTGTGTGCATTAGTGCACACATGACATCTACCTCTAAAATACACCTGGATATACAGCTCATGGAAAGAGATTGGACCAATTCAGCTAACTTCGGATGTTGGAAGTAAATCCTGAGGATAGTTATTATGAAACAACTGTATGCCCTGTATGTCAAGTTGATGTGAGATTGTAATGTTGAACATCTGGTTTCAAATGCGTCTGGAGGTTGATGTAGAAACACCTGAGCTGAAATCACAAGTACCTCACACAATTATAATACTTAAAACCTTTAACCATAGTTTTATTGCTTTAGTCAGATTATGTAAAAGTAGTTTTATGCTGTATACTGTGATAAGTCTGTTGTAAGTGTAAGGTTTGCTACACTATTTTGTCACTTTATTCTGTTCAGTGTGTTAATGTTGTAAGCTTTAAAGATTTTTATAAGAGTTTGCAAATATTTTATTATTATATTTTAAGTTTTAAGAGTTTAACATTTTTAAGAGCATTTTGTTGTGCTGTAAAGAAGTCCAGAAGCACAATTAAAAAAAACATTTTATTTACATTAAACATTGTATTGAAATAATTACACACAATCACATGTTTCTGTTTTTCAGAAAGTCAAAGACAATAAGGAAAATTGTACATTTTAAAACAAGCTGCCATTATTTGGGCCTCACAAGTGAGAACACCCAATTTACTTAATTTCAACAGGTTCATCAAGCCATTTAAATTAGTACACATAAGCTCCACTTCATTTTCAATAAATTAATATCCAAAATGGGAGATTTAATAACTTTGAGCATGAAATTGTTCACTCAAGAGTTCAGCCTGCTGTGTTCAGTTTGACCTTGTAACCATTCAGTCCATCAATTCTGTTGACTGGACATAAAGAAAGGCATTTAACTTACAACAACGAATAAAATCTACCACTTACAACCAACATCATTCATTCTCTAATTCAATAAAAATCTATATATGACTCTTAAAGGGCTACTATACTTCTAAATCTCTAAAGTACAAAAGTAAAGTGGAGTTTCCCTTCATTACAGTGATCAGTCTTTAAACAATATACACACAAACGCTTACAAAAACACTACACAGACAGGTTTGCGAAAGCACATTTAAAAAGTCCAAATTTGTCAAAAATGCAGTGTGTGTAATGTGTCCCGCCTGGAGGTGCGGACATGCAGCTTCTCATGTACTACACAAACTTTGATAAGAGACTGGACAAAGTTGTGTGCAATGATAAGGGTAATTTTCTTTGCTGGATCCAATAGTGGGAAAGGGGCAAGAAGCTGTCTTAAAAGTCAGTTAAGGTAACAGGACTGGATGCCAAATCTCCTCAGTTTTCACTTCAGCTAAACAATTCAGCCTTCATACGGTTTTAACACTGGAGGACAAGGCAACAAGCCAAGAACTGACTAAATATAAAACAGATTTAAAGGAACAGGAGAGGAAATAAAAGTCCGATCTAAAAGGGGTGTTAGAAAATTTGGCTTTAAAGAATTCCCTAATCTTAGAAACTGACATTACAGTGAATCTCAATATGACTGTCTTAAACGCTGACTGAAAGACAGACAGACAGACACACACATATATACACACACACACAAACACACAACCGTACCGCAACTCATCACAGATTCAACATTAACACAGTTAATACCCAGAATAACCTGATATCCCAGAATTCCCTCCCTTTTAATAATATTCCTCCTCCTCATAAGACAATACAGTGACCCCTGACCTTCACAGCAGTATCGGTTAAAACCCAGAGAAATTATCAAGTCTGTGTATTGTACGTTACCAGACTAGAGGGCCGGTGTAATCACAGACAATCATCTGTCTGTTGTCTGTGACTGAAGTAACGTCATCTAACACGCGAGCATGAGAATCTAAGGAAGACCACACCTATGGAAAAGTTCATGTGCAGCTACAGAACAGTGACGTTGACCATTAGAGATCTTTTTGCAAAAACAAACCTTCAGCAGTATTTAAATGAATCACTAACAAACCTCATTTATCAACACAATCATATGCACATAACTAAAACCTCATTAGCGCCTGACTCCAGTGTTTCAAAGGGAAATGCTTGCATGCCGCACTAACCTTTGGTAAACATGATGATTTCTTTGATCTCAGTTTGCAAATAAATTAGACCAAAGTAAGTTGAGAAAGCAGGCGACAGCAGAGACTTGTAAATAACCAGCCATAGTTTTTAGGCGTCTGTGATCAACATATTAGAATGAATATACCTTACAAGACTTTAGGGATTTCATTAAGTGCAATTTCACAGAAATCTGGGGATCAGTGGTCTTCTTTCATTATTCAGTAGCAAAATATCTCCAGTGTATTCCCAATTTTAAATAGGGTGACAAGGAAACTGTCAGCATGTATGCACAGCTCTGGCTTCAAATAAAGGGGCTACAGGTGAGGAACTTAAATAAAAGCAACCAAATCTATCCATGTATTTTACTTAGATTAATAGTGGCCATTTGGCACCATTGGGGTGAGAGTGGCTACCCATGGCACATAGATTTGGCATAAAGAAAAGTGTCCAGTTGCACCCTGTTAAGTCAGTAGCAGTGATGCATCATGGGATTCTGTCAGTAATCACATGGTTTCAGGTGTGTGGGTTTAAAGGATTGAAATGTAATATTATAGTCTGTAAAGTCTTGTGTTTGCCATGGTGTAGGATATCGTGTGTGAGGTAATAGAGGTGCTGAGTTTCGGTGTGGTGTTGTGTTAAGCTTGTCTTCTTAAATTTCTGTGTGGCTGCGATGAGACGCAGGTTCTTCACTGGCAGCATCAGAGACTTTCTTGCCCTGAACAGAGACTCTTAGGCAGCATTGTAGTTAAATACCTTTATCATTCTGTCTGATATCTTAATTTGGGATATATATATATCAAAACATATATATGATATATATATATATATATATATGTTTTGACATATATTTCAATGAAGCCTAAGAATATGACCAAATATTTAACACTCACTCAGTTTTGTTCCTCAAACTGTAGAGAAGGCTTGAAAACAGTTGGTTAATAAAAAGTAGAAAGACAGAATATAAAATTTCAGTCTGATTCAGTGACTTGACTTACCTTGACCATAACCACGACCTTAATACAGTCTTCAACTTTCTGAATCCTTAAACTGACCATTCTCTTGTCAGCAGGGGGTAGCCTGGGGGTAAGCACTACCTGAGAGTTTTAATTCAGAACAAGAAAGTCCCTTACCTTTTTTGCATCAATTAAACTTCATACATACTTGAAATAAACCGCCAGCTGTTAAACTGTAGCACCGCCAACAATTAGTGTCTGTGTGTTAAATGTGCTTGTTTTTACAGTACATTTAGATCCCTTCAGATTCATCTTGTGGCCCCTTATTGGTTGGGAACCACTGATCTAAAGCACCACAGTTTACGGGTCTGCCTACAGGACTGGGCATTCTATCAATATAAATTATTATGTTTGTGATCCATCATTGATATTTTCCTTACATGTTGTGAACTGTAATACCTAATTTAACACTACAAAAATAATTCTCTGAGGGTTATTTTTCTGAAATACTTTGGAATTACATTTTAAAACAACCCTGCATCATTCAGTACAATGGGACGGACATCTAAGTGATCTAGTTTATCCTCTAACAGATATTGTGATGCAAATCGATGTGAAAGAATTTCTTCTGGTAACTTCAAATTTTTCCCAGCCCAAATATTGTATATAATATCTTGTACAGCTGTTCACAGCTGTTCCACAAGTAAATATTAATTTGCTTTATTGTGTTTAGTAACACCACAGTAAATGTGGGCCACTCTGCATACATGTGTATATTACCCTGTCTTGTTTGTCTCTTCTAATCTTGAATTCCCATGTATGTGTGCACGTATAGACAGCACTTGTGTCACCATCCCTGTGTGAGTGTTGTTAACGTTTAACATTACTGCAGGATCTGCAGATTAAAGTGTGTGAGTTAAATCACGCACTCAGGTCCCTCAGTGATGTGTCTCCAGCTCAACCACTGTCCACTCTCCCTGTGGGGAGCTTCCAGTGGCCTCTGGGGAGAAACTACTGACAGAGGTGACGGTGGCAGAGGGAGGGGTGAGTGGAGGCAGCAGGCTGGGCCACAGGCTGCTCTCCAGGGGGCTGAGTGTGCCTCCTGCACCCCCTGGCATCAGCAGCAGGGAGGAGCAGCCATCTCCATTGAGCAGAAGAGTCTGATTGATCAGCTGCTGGACTATGTCCACTTTCTTCCCCCAATCCAGGTCCAGGGGTGGAGGTCGCTCTGGAGACTCGGGAGGGCAAGGGGAGGAGCTGTCACCATCCTGGGAGGGGCTGCTGGGTGTCTGAGGGGAGTCTTGGTGAGGAGGCGGGATCTCAGTTGAAGATGAAGAGTCTCTATGTTTGTCTTCATCTGACGTCTCCCTTTCACAATCATCGTCAATGTCTTCATTTGACGTCTCTTGCTTGAGCTCTTCATTCTCTTCAGTGTGGTTCAGCTTCTTTGTTCCCTGTTCTTCATCTTCAGCCTCCCCTTCATCACTATTCTCCAGTGCTTCATAGATAGTGCAAAGGCCAGAGGAGGGGGACAACAGCACCGTCTGACCTTTATTAGATTGTTGCAGCTCTTGCTGCCACTGCATGATTTGCTGCCTTTGCTTCAGCTCCTGTTGTTGCTGCTGCAGTTGTTGTTCAAGGTCTCTCCTCTGCTTCAGCTCCTCTTCCTTCTTTGTCATCTCTGCCTCTATTATCTTCCTGTCCTCCTCCTCTTTATTCCTCTTTATTTCTTCTTCCGCTTCCTCCTTCTTCTTCCTCTGCTCCTCCTCCTCCCGCCTCTTCCTCTCCTGCTCTGCCTCCTCCAGTGGTCTGCACTGTTGGTCCCTGCGTTGCTGCAGCTCCAGCAGTTGTCTCTGGTGTTGCTCCAGCCTGAGGAGCTGTGGGCTCAACGCCTGCTGCCCGGGGCTCCTGGGTGGGAGGTCAGCACAGGTCAGCTTCGGTGGGGTAACAGAGGCGCCATGAGGTATGACGATGTCGCAGTAGGTTCTAGGGTATGCTGAGTGATCGCGGCGGTGATGGTGCGGTAGTGCAGTGAAGCCTGTGTGTGAGAGGAAGTGGGAAGGAAGATTACAGTAGCGTGATGTTATAAAAACAGAAGTCACAGGCAGCAGGACAGTGACAGCGGTGCAGTGAGTACAAGCAGAAGAGTGTATAGGGAAGGGGGTGGCCTTCAGAGGCTCATACTTGCTGAGGGAATAGTGAAAGCATTGTGAAGCCAAGCCCAAAGGTCTGCCAGTAGCCTACAGAACCAAACTGGCTGGCAATTATTTGTAGTTTTGTACTTTGAGCAAATGACAGTAAGACATTGTTTGCAAGTTGTGCAGCAGTGACAGATACAGCCTGTATTAGACCAGTATTTGTAGTATTTGTGTAATAACAGTGAACACACCAGTAAATAGTGACCCAAGGTGAAGTGACTGGGGGTGGTGACTGGGGCCAGGGTACGGAAATTTGTGCAGAGAGCATTTGTGCATACTTAAAATGATTGTTTTTCTACATGTATTTTTTTTTTTTTTTTTTTTAAATGACACCCAGAAAGATTTTTGTGTGCGAAAAAAGCAGCCAACTTCCTGTATATGCAAATACTATCAACAATGGTGAGACAAACAACCACAGAAAAGCCTATTGCCAGCTTAAACCGTCATCACCCATGAATGGAGTTTATAGTTAGTCAACCAGTGATACATGCAAAAGCTCTCCATGCATTTATAGACATCCAGCATCACAAGAAAACTGAAATAATAGCTTGGCTTTAGAAGGAATCATGTTGAGGTTAGATATTATTCTAACCTAAGTATATCCAGACCTAGAGCCAAGCTATTTGGCTGACCCTGAACAAACCAATCCAAAGTAATGAGATGAAAGTCTAGTCATTGTGCAACAGTGACATGCATAAGCTCAATTAACTTTAATACATGGCTGTAGAACAGTGCAGCAAGAATGCTAAAACAAAAAACAAAACAAAAAAAAGCCAGTAGAAAAGAGCAACACACCCACAATAGAGTTGAGGGAAATTAAAGTAGCAGCAGAATAAGCAGTGTTGCGTCCTTCTTGATGCTGGACAATGAGATGTCAAACTCCTTTATTGCTTTAGATGCTGCAGTTCGATCCACGGATGAGAAGGTCTTGTGGCATGGATGATCAAGATGATGATGAAGTCACAGCAGATTCATTCCAGTTTTGTAGATGTCAGACCAGTGAAGTCTTTCAGGTTGGGCATGAGTTCCGCTGTTTATCGTATCCAGTTTTCAAACGAAAGGCCATAACTTACACATGAGTGTCTGTGTGAGTGTATGGCAAGAGTGGAGCATTGAATGGCTATGACTGTTGACTTGAGTGTCTGCAATATCATGAGGTGTCTAGAGCCACAGGTAAAAAAAATAAAAAAATAACAGGAACTTTAAATGAAGATCAGTAGTGTTGGATGACCATGAATATGCCTTCCATTCAACTCCAAAGTGCTCATTTCAATAAAACTGTACGGTGAGAGAGTACATCATGGTAAAAATCTAATCTTTATTTAAAGTTTTAAGGTTAATTACTCCAAAAGATGGATAAACACAAGAAAAAGCTTGGGTACAATTTAAAGTGCAAGAAGAGATGGGGAGTGATCGAGGAAAAGGAAGATTACCTGTATTGTAAGGTAGGAGAGCGAAATCAAACATGAATATACAATCAATCAAAACTCATTTTCAATTATCAGCTTTGAGTGAAAAGGATAAATACACATGAAAACATGTTAAACAGTTCATTCCACACTTCTTTTGTTAAGCTTCATTTTTTTTGTTTTCCCTCTTTAAGAGCTGTAAACAGACAAGTCAAATCCATGCCAGTTCAGGGCAACCACATAATTCTGTGTTAAATAAAACAGAAACCAAAACCCAGACACGCTCAGACATTAGGAGTAAATAGTAGCTATTGCACATACAGGAATTGAAGCCATATACTCATAATGGAAATGTTATATCAGAGGGAAGAGCCACTGCTGTCCTCTTTTTTTAATTCTTCCCTTTTTTTTTTTTTTGCTCTCTGTTTTTTTAAGTTTTACTTTGATTACGTCCACCCCCAGAGATTTCAGGACAAACACTTACAACAAGAACTACAACAGTGAGATATTGTTTTGGGGAGGCTAGAACAGGGCCAGAGGGAGACAAGGGATGTTATTTGGGCGGTTAGGGAGATGATGAACTATACATTACCTGCGAAAGAGTTCTCAGTCTTTTCACAGATAGCAGAATAGTAGGGAGGTTGGATGTCATCTGGGTTTTCCTCTGGTTGCTGCAAAGTGTACAGAGTTGATGAAGGGTCTTCCTCTGACCCCGGCGCTTCCTCGTGGACAAGCTCAGCTGACTCTGCTCCCTGCTTCCCACACTCGATGTACTGCTGCTCTGCGAGGCATGGCTGGGTGAGAGGCTGTGGGATGAGACAGGGCTCCTTGGCCTCCTCAGGCAGCTCCTCCAGGGAGAAGATGCCAGGGCTCTTGATGCAGCTCTCCCCTGTGGACTGAGCGTTGGAGTTTGAAGCTGTGGTCATGGTGTCAAAGCCGTAAGACGCCAACGAGGTAGCTGAAGGTGGGGTGGTGTCTTCACCTGCGCCGGCCTCCTCCATCTCAGCCTCCTCTCCCTCTTCCACAGTGGACAGGCAGTGCTGCGCTGAAGGCTGGCTGTCAAAGGTGATGAGACTGACTGCTGGATTCTCCAAAGAATCATCCAACTGAGCTTCTCCCTCTGTGTCACTGGCCTCGTCTTCTGTTACGGAGGATGAGGAAGGGTTGGAAGTGGGGGCAGTTGCAGGGCCTCCAAGGACTTCGTCAGCCGGCAGGGTCTCTGCCTCTGCCTCCTCCTCTCCTTCCCTGTCTCCGCTCTCCAAGTGGATGCCCAGGTCCTGGTAGTCCATGTCATGCTGGGGAGAAAGCAGTGGGACTTGCGCATCTTGAGGCTGGAGCTTCCCGTCTCGATTGTAGTCACCAAGTTCCTCAGGTGTGCTGGTCTCACTGCTCAGGGTGCTTGACAAAGACATTCCTGGGGCAGAGAGGGGAGCTGGGGTCAGGGTCTGCATTGGGGCAGGGCAGGGCTGATCCAAGTACATTTGGGCCTGCAGATTTTGTGGCTCATCTCTGACAGAGGAATGATGGGGGGCTTCTTGGTTTTCATTAACAAAAGGAGCAGAGCCTAGTTCTAGCCAGGCTTGGGCTGGGGTCTGAGTTGGGGTCTCAGAGTCTGCTTGCCAGGGGTCTCCCAAAGGACTTGCTACAGCTGCTCCTGCCATCTGGGAGATGTGCTCAAGAACCTGCTGTGGCTGAAGAGGTTCTGCCCAGTGATCAGCGAAGGGGTTTGGTTGGTCCCACTGAGCAGCTGGGGCAGAGGGCAGCAGAGGAGGGGGAGGAGGGGGCTGGGCCACTCTGTTCAAGTTGTCTAGTCTTTCATCCTCAGCAAAGTCATCCTCATCTGCATTCCCATAGCTTTCCAGGCCACTCTCTGTCACCCCCTCACTAGCCATCTCCACATCCTCATCCTCCTCATCATCATCCACATCATTGTCATGCCTGGGTCTCTGCAGCTCATCTGTCCGCTCTGAGCCCACATCCATGTCACACACACGATCATTGTCATCGTCCTCCTCATCTTCATCCTCATCAAAGTCATTAACTGGTATGTCAGGAACCTTCTCAGAGTCAGGGGAACCTGCTGAGGCACCTTCCATGTCAATGGCTCCTTTGAGGCTACCTTCTCCCAGATCATCCATGCTCTCTGTGCCCTCCATTACACCAGGGGTGCTAAACTCAGACGCACCCTGCTGGCTGCCGCTTACATCTTCAGAGTCCAGCTCAGAAAGCAAGGCGCCACTGGCTCGCCAAGCAGACCCGCCCACTGGTCCAACTGATCCAGGATGGGACTCTTCTGTGGGCTGTGTGGTCCCACTCATTTCAGACATAGAAACCAGCTGGCTTCTCTCCCTCTCCTCTTCATCATCCTCCTCATTTAGATCGGTGGGAGGATCTATCTGAGGGATGTCATTTGCTACTTCTGGGAGGGTTTTAGATGTGGAGGGGGTTTGGTTTGTTAGCAAGTAAACAGGTTCTTCTGATAGGCCTGGAGGGGAGGCCACAGGTGGTAATGTGGGCTCAGCTGGGGCAGGGATCTGCTCCTGCGTTGTTAGTAAAGGAGCACTGATTTCTAGCTGTTCTTGGGGTGGAAATGTTTGTGGTAAAGCTGTCCTGACAGGGCTTTCTGGAGGAGTGGGAGCAGCTGCATGACTTTGCGCAAGCTCTTGAGGTACCACCTCTGGTGGGGTATTCTGTGCCAAGGGTGGGGGAGGGACCTCCTCTGGTGCAGAGGCAGCAAGGAATGATCCTTGTGGTAAGGCCACTGTAGCCTCAGCTTGTGTTTCTGCGAGAATAGCTGCTGCTGTGGCAGCTACTACCACTGCTACTGCTGCACCGGCAGTACTCTGTGCTTCTGTAGCAGGTGTGGTAGCATCTGAAACCCCTGTCTTCTTGATAGCAGTAAAAGGTGGGACAGCCTGAGTGGGTTTGGTTCCACGTTTTGCCTGAGAGGTGCTGCCATTTGCAGGTTTGCTGGCTGGAGAGGCAGGTGGGGTTCGGCCAAGGGGTTGTTTGTTAAGGGCAGGGAACCGAACAGCAGCAACAGGTTTCTTTGTGGGAGGTTTTGCAGGCTGTTGAGTTTTGGACTGTGACACTTTGGGGTCTGTTGCCTTTGCTGTTGCAGACCATTTGGAGGCAGCATTGAGCTTTACAGTGGCCACAGGTTTCGATGGTTCCGTTTTTTTGGGTGCAGCTGATGTTGTAGCTGTTGTAGGTTTCTTAGCCACTGTAGTAGAAGGTGGTCGACTTACATCTGATGCCAAGAGAAAAACAACAAAATTCAATGCTTCCAATCTGAATGTCAAAAAAAATTAATTTTTTGAATCAGTCAATTTCAGCTATGCATTTTTGTGATATTTTCATTTGGACTGTCAACTAACTTCTACCAAAGGCACACTAACAATATTAATTTGTATGTCCAGTGCACAGACTCATAAGGAATCTGACATCATGGATTATCTGTTCATAAATAATTATTTTTACATAGTCATATGGTATTGCTGGGACTAATTTCAACCACTTCATGCTACTTTATTCCAGACATTTAGGTTAATAACCTGAAACTGTCTAACCATAGCCATTAGATGTGTAAATACAATGTAAATACAATCCACTCCTTTAAGAAAAAAAAAAAAAAAAGCATCTGAATACAGCTCTGTGACATGGCTTCAGAAAAGTGTCTCCTGCACAGAACAAGGATCAATTTCTAACCTTTTTTAGCAGCAGCAGTTTTAGGAGGCTGTGCTGCTGTGGTCCTGCCAGTAGAGGGTACTGTAGTAACTCTAGAGGCAGTGGTTTTGGCAACTGCAGTGGTGGAGGACTTGGTTGTAGCTGTGGTGGGCCTAGATGTGGTGGATGCAGGCCGAGCTGTTGAGGGAGCTGTAGCAGGCCTGGAGGCAGAGAAAGAAGGACATGGTCAAGTGGCAAACAAACACTCGAGAACAAAAACGAACACAGCTTAATTTTTTGTTGGCAAAGGTCCAAACATGAAATGTGATGCTGCACCTCTATATGCATTTACACGCATAAATAATTGTCCTGTCCTAATGTAAACCACAAAAGCAATTTCAACAATGGGAACACATTAACAGCACCATCCATCTTTTGCCACATTAATGCCTCCTTCCTTCTCCACTCACTACCAAGATAAAAGGGCAGGCTGTAATGAGAAGGAGGGGAAAAAAAGAAAGATGGAGGTGGAATGGAAAGCTTGAACAAAGAAGAATGACAAAGAAAAGAGGCAATGCAAAGGTAGAGGTGATGACAACTGAGACAATGAAAAGTATCAGGAGCAGAAAGGGCCACAGGGTATTGTGAATGCAAATCTATTCGATACACATGGGCTCATGACTGTCACAGTGAGACAGAGAAAGAGAGGCTCATTTGTCAATGATCAAACCCATCCAAGCCCAAAACCTTTCGCAACAGAATGGCCCTCAACCAAAAACATGATACTTTTACCATAGCCCATCAGGTTCAGGCTGGGTTAGGGCTGGGCAATATAACATTTTCAAATCTTTTCAAGCATGGGGCTGACTCATGATTTTAATTAAAGCTGTCATCAACCTGTTTAGGGTGCAATGAACTTCTGGCAAGCAAAACGTAAAAAAAATTGCACCTGTGCATTGCCCAAATCAGTGGGTGGATGTGCCAATATTTGCTCCAACTGAACAAAGACCAAATGGAGATAATTGTTTTTGGTGCAAAATTAGTATGGCTGAAAGTTGGTGCATATCTCGATTTCCTTTCTTTGAAGCCTAAAAACCAAGTCAGAAATCTTGGTGTTATTGACTCCAATTTACATTTTTCAGCCTATTATCATCATAAAAATATAGCAAGAATTAAAGGATACATAAAAACAAGATCTAATTCACACTTCCAGTAGGTTAGACTAGAATAATCTTTTCTAAGGCTTTCCTTGTTACTTGTCTATAAATCACTTAATGCTTTAGGGCCATCTGTGGCGCCTCCCCAGTGGCTCACCAGTATACAGAATACTACTTATGCTCAATCCTTACCGCAACTGCCATGGGTTCGAGTGCGACCGACGGCCCTTTGCTGCATGTCATCCCCTCTTTATCCCCAACTTTCCTGTCACTGTCACTATCCAAAATCGAGACAAAAAAAAGAAGCAGCTATCTTCTACATTACATTTTTAACTAAAAGTAACCTTTTTGTGCATCGTTATAACTCGATTTTCATGATGCAGTCATTTTACACATTTGCAAGGAGGCAAAATTGAATTAATTTGATTTATTGCACAGCCCAAGATCAAGTGGCATAAATCTACGTCAAATCCCAATCTCATGCCAGCAGTACTGATAGTGATAGTTAGGCTAACAATTACAATGACATGTATAAAATATGTTGCTTCCTGATTGAAAAGTGTTTGGATGTGTGGCCATGTTTCTCTTTGGACACTGATTTTTCCAGATATTTTGTTCTTGCTGCATCATCTGCCCATGTGAGAAACTTGAAAAGATGCAATTTTGTCTACGCTGGAAGAAACAGTGCAGTCAAACAGATTTCCTGACAAATTTGACCTTCTGGTAAATAAAATACAATGTAGATTGTCAGCCAACCTTTTCAAATAATAATAAATTTCTTTGTATTTTTAAGCTACACCACACCTGTAATATAGTTGTGGGCATCTTATGAAACAGAGAAAATACTAATTTGTAATGTTATTCAGTTATGCTTTTCAGGGCCTAACTGAGGGCCACATGGAGGCCTAACAGGCATGTCTTACTCTAAAAACAACAGACCTGCTCTGAACAGCTCAACAGAAACAAGCAGCATAAACTACAGCCACGTTCCAAAACCCTGTTATAGTATTAAATTTGACAATCAGAAAGAGATGTGTATCGAGGTGAGTGAAACGTAACATGGCATTTGTGCATCATACTTGCAGTGCAGTGATATGAAAAGCAGTAACCTACATAAAAATCTGCTTGTGCTATACTGGGCTCTGTGAAATCTCAACACAATGCATTTGCCTTGTCAGGCTCCAAGAATTTGACATAGTCTGTGCTGCAATGCACTGCTGCACTGGCTAACCTACAAACAAATGTCTGTGAAATGAGCGATTCGTCAGCCGCAGGCAGAACTAGTCCTCATTTCTACACTTGATCCCTTGTGATCAAAAACAATGCAAAACCTCACCAATGTAAATAATTTGACATCTGTTTTTAATCAGACAGATTGACTTGAACAACAAGAGCTGAATAATAACATGTAATTGCCTTAAGGAACTGTGTAACCCCATCACCAATTACAGTAATCTCCATTATGTCTTCTTTTAGTTCTTGGTCTGCCGATTTGGTCAGTGATGTAGACATGAACTGACAAACACACGCTGACTTTGATGGCTTTCAGTGGAGTAGCATGCCAGCACACAGATGCCGCTCCCACATTACATTAACCATTACAATGACCATTTGTTTCCCTGAGATCACAACCACTGCACAGACAAGGACTCATAGCTATGGGACAGTGTAATTGGCTGTCATCAAAAGATTTGGGTTGCAATGTGAAGTGCAGCTAATTAAGGTCATTTTTCTAACCCTATATGTGAGCAAAATCTGAATTGACATGACCACTCAAGTATAAGAATCAAGGTGGACAGCACTGAGTGAAAGGCTTCCTCTGAAGGGAGAGAGGGAAGGTGAAATGAGGAGAAGAGTAAAGGGGAATAAAGAGGGTAAGGGGAGGTCGCAGACACAATATAACCGCAAAAACACCCAACCCCTCCCTCCATTGTTTTACGATGAGTCATAACTCATAAAAGGTTTGATCAAGAGGGGACGACACACAGACGAATAGACAGACCCACTAATGCCTGTACTCCACACACTGTCTGTGGGTGTTGGCTGGTGGTTCTGTTGTTGGTGTATCAGTATGGATTACATTTCGTGCCAACGGAGGGTTGAAATCAATACAAATCAACGGTCCAAAGAGAGGATGAGAGGCACAACACACCCATCTGAAGGATTTTAAGGGCAAAGGTCAGCACAGAGACACTGTTACACATTATGGGCTTTCTATGTTTTAATTTAGAATCAATATTCACAAATGTTCACAACAGATGCAAAAACACACTAATGGCATGAACATACTGAGCAGCTGCGACATCTGTTTGGCCAAAAATCAAAGTGTAAACATGAGGAAAGTTTTGGTGAAGCCACACCTACACCATCCATTCATCCATGAATCTCTCTTTCCTCTTCTTCCTTCTAAAAAAAAAAAGAAAGAAAAAAAAAAAAAATTGCTTGGAGGCTAGACTCCTTTGCATACTCACTTGTGGATTCAATTATTCTGTTTTAATCAAGCCAAAGAGAAAGAAGTTGGTTTGGCCAGGGTGTACACTTTATCCCTGTTGCAGTAAGCTCATCCTACAAATAAAATGCAGTTTAAGTACAAATTCTTCTGTTCTCGCCCTTTCTCCCCTCATCACTTCAAGAGCCCCCTCCGAGACAACAAATGGAAATAAAGCACCCTAACAATACCTTGTTTGGCTTGTAGGCTGTCCAAACCCAGCTGCTTTACTCCCTCCGGAGAGGAGCACACATTCCTAGGGTTGTGTAGGCCTACACTTATCTCCTTGACAATAAAGAGTGGAGCCCTGAATCAGCTCAGTGGAGAATTTAGATGAAGTGTTGCAGCCCAGCAATAGCTGGGCAGACAGCACTGGCTCTTATGAGGCCCTAGGCACCCACTGTCACTGTGATAGATGCCATGGGTCTTTTCCGTTAGGCCAGTAATCCTGCTCCCTGCCAAGACTGTCGGGGAGAAGTGACACAGTTTTATCTCCAATAGAACAACACAGAAGAAATCAGGAGACGAGACAGTGGGAGAAACAAAGTGATGGGCTAAAAGTGAGAATAAAGTGTGTTGCACAAAGCCAAGCTATTCTTGTATTTGGTTTAATTTTGATAAATTCTCCATTACAGCAGTCAGTTTTCTGAATGAGGATTAATACTGTATCAGAGAGACAAAAGTACTATGCCCCTGCAATTCTGTGCATTCCCAATTGCGACTCTGAATATTAATCATTAATCTACAGATTGCTCAGCAACATGAAGGTATGCTACATCATTGTCCATCTCATGTTACACAACTTCACTCTGAATTTTCCAGTATCTGTGTGCAGCTAAATGATGAATGAGTTAGAATGGTAGATTGGACGTTAGGCTGTAAGGAGGGCTTGAGGAGATCCTGGACAAATGCCCAGCACTGTACATGCACAGACGGCAGAAAAGAGGGATGAGGGGCAAGAGAAGGGAGACTGAGAGAGGGGGTGGGGTGGGCAAAGACTGATTACTCAGTCAGTGCAAGGACACCATAACTCATCATTGGAGGAGAGCAGAGCAAAGCAGGTGCCAGATTTTACAACATTTGGCTTCGACTCTAGTTCTCAAGGGTTCTCATCGACCACTGGGACAGAGACATCCTCCTGTCATGCAGATTAATTGTCCATCTTCACGTTACACATTCTAACTAACGCACAGAAATGGCAACAAAGCTGAAACAGCCTTGCCTCATAACTGTGCACCATCATATCCTATGAAATCTTATTGTCATCTTGCCTAAGCACAAATCCTATTTCTAGGGGCTCACAGATGAACCCATCGCCAAATCTCATTTGCCCTTCTTGAATGAGGCTCATTTTTTAAAACCCAATACGTTTTCATTTCTCCCTCTGGACCAGTTAACATCAATACTTCATGAGAGGGGCTGGACTTTCCATTGGACACAGGCAGTGTGTGCCACTACAACAACAACATGCTTGTTGAGCATGATGACCTTACAATAGGCTTTACTGTCTATGCTGTTTGCCACAACAAGTTTACTTGAACAATGTTTACCTGCAGATACTTGAAAATGTTGCAGTTTGAGCCACCATGCTGCTGTTGTCTCAGCAACATGAGAAACAATGGCGTGGCTGGAATTACAAAGAAATGGCTACAAAATTACAAGGAAGAAGTGATAGACCTATTGTGCTGCAACTAAATAATCTCCTTGGGTAGTTTGCCAAATCCTTTAACACCATTCAGTTCTGTTGGATGTGCTGCTATGGAAGGTTAGTGCCATTGTGTTAAGTGTCACGACTAATGCAAGTCACTGCTTGAGCTGAGAGATCCGTTTGTGTTAGTGTCCCACTCTGCCAGAGAGCCAGCAAGAACACCAATACTGACTGAAATGCACACCACCGATACGGTTGCTACACAAAGGATTCGAGACGCTGCTGACTTTGCCATCACACACAGGTGGCACGAAATGCAACATGCGTTGTCTGTCACAAGGGCACACACCTGCTGCTGTTCTCCTGTTGTGCTGCCCATGTCTCAAGCTGAGAGAGGCAAGTGTCTAATGTCACGTCCTGGTGAACGAGCCGGGAACAGTCACATAAGGATGATGTGCTACTGTAATCAGACTCCTACACTTCAATGCCTCATCTGATTAATTCAGGATGAGGTTCTTGACACACACACACACACACACGACAACATTAAGAGCAACTACTCTGAGTCTGACCTATATAATTCCAGTCTACATAGTGCCACATTGTTAAGTACTATATAAAAGTGATCATTGGTCATTGTTCTTAAAACCATGGACATCACTTTCAAGAGGATTGTGATAGCTGTCTCGGCGCTGAATTGATCAATGTATCAAGTCATCTGTCACACAAAAATACCTTGGAGTCCAGGAACCTGTCGCAGCCATTTTAATTTGTAACCATTTCCTAACATTTTATAGACTAAACGATAAATTGATTAATAGATAGCTGAATTAATTGTTATATTAAACTGATCATGAAAGTAATTGTTTCCGCAGTAATTAAAAAAACAACAACCAAAAAAAAACAGCTTTGTCGGCTGTGTAAAATAGGAAATTGGAGAATCTATAAATCAACAATAAAAATAGAGCTGAGGTGTAGAAATTACACACAAAGAGGCATTTATTTTATTTCTTGTAGAAAAGAAACAATTCAATGACCCTCTTCTGCTTCAGAAAAGAGAGTGATGCAGCACATTTTTCCTTTATTTAATAATAGAACATTAAGAGGGAAGACGAGTGGAGGCAGAATCTAATCAGGCCTTTTAGTACAGAACAAAACATCCTGTGGAAAGATGTTGGATTGGTGAATTATGTACCTGACTCTAAATTTCAGAGACTGATCGCTTCATTTCCACAAATGAGTATCTCAGTAATCAAGTTCAAGTTGCGATTACATAATTTGACAAACATCTGAAGAAAAAGGGTTTGTAGCTATAGCTTTGGCCTTCAGCTAATAATTATGTTTGGCAACTGGTTATAGAAGCCTGAATTTAATCAGGATATCTTAAATTTCTGTCAAGTAAAAATGTCTTTAACAAAAGCGTTCTCGTTGAAATGGCAGTAAATAACAATCTCAACAACAATCTCAACCATGAAATTCTACAACGGTTAAATGATCACTTGAGAGCACCACTTCGAGCAAGTCTAGTCCAACTACATCACTCCATGTCCAAACCACTGGTCCAGTATGAGAGGGATTATGAGCCAAGTCAATAGCTCTCTGCCCTGGGGAGGTGGGGCTGGTTGCTGCCAGGGGGTCCGTTTGGGACAAAGCGGTAGTTCTTCAGTATCACCGACTCTGTTAAGGCCCTCTGTCTCAGGTTATTTCTGCTAACATGACTCACACTTGAAGTGAAATTTGACTCAATAACAGCCCAAAGACCACAATGGACATCATTCTCCGTTGCTCCCTTTCAGGACATCAAGATAAACAGTCAGTCTCATCAAGTTTGTAAGGGGATTAAAAGTTCAGATCTCAGAGACAGAAACACAATGAGAGAGAGAGAGAAGGGCATTACACACAGTGCCATTAGGCCTGTAAACTTTTCAGCACCTGTTGCCCCTTTGCGATAGGCATGCATACCTTGTGGTCTTTGAAACAGCAGCACTCCCGGCTTTTGTTGTAGTCGAAGTGCTGGTTTTTGGGGCAGTGGACACCACTGGTCTGCTGGTAGTAGCTGCAAAAAAAGAGAAGATGATACGACTGATGAGATTGTATAGAAATGGATGTCAGGTCGTTAAAGTAAAACAGAACAAAAAGAAAATTTGAAATACTAACAAACACTACATCAAGTTACAGAAATTTAAATCACAATTAATTTTACTTTTCTTATTCAGACTCACGTATGGTTTTGGGTCTTGCTGCATTAGCAGTCTCAGCCACTGGTCTCCTCTTAGTGCCATTCACTGTTGTTGGCTTGGTACCATTTGTTACTGTGGAAGCAGCAACAGAGGTAGTCCCAGAAGGTCCAACAGACTTCTTTTCAGGCACTCGATTTTGGTTCCTGACCGTGGTGGAAACCGCTGCTGCACCCAGTGGTCTTTTAGGTACAGCTCCCGCTGCTGATGCTTTTGCTGTAGTTGTTGTTGTCGTTCTCTTGACCGCAGCTGCAGAGACATTGTTGGAGGATTTGACGTTATTCATCATACGGTGCGAGGCAGTACCTGGCCGTGAGTTGGATCCAGAAGCCCCTACAGATTTGGCTGTGGGCTGTGTTTTAGTTGCAACAGCTTTTAGTTTGACTTTGGGCTCTGCTGCCACTGGCTTGCCATTGGCTTTTGCAGCAGCCGCGGGCACTGCATCAGTCGCAGCATCATCTGGTTTAGATGATGCTTGCTCTATTGAGTTGTCCTGCGATGAAGATGGCTCTGCTACTTCTGCAGCTTCAGTGGGCTCCGTGGTTTCCATGGTAACCCCATCCGGTTTCATCCCCTCCTCCTAAGGTGTGGACACTGATGTTGCTGCTGTTAAGTAGGGTCTAGCTGCTCACACTCGTCTTGAATGGCCAGTTCCTCTCACACCTTAATGTCCTGTAGAATAAAAGCAAAACAAGAATGAATCTCTTAAATGCAGAATTCAACCATGTTGCACTACTCATGAAGTCATATGATAAACATGCCACTGTTGGCCAAAGGAAATTCCATTTATGGTAAGGGGCCTCCGTGGAATTTGGGGGAATCTGAAAAACAGGAAGTGAGCAGTGTGAAATGCCAAATAACCTCTTCTCTAAACCAGTCACTCTCATCTAACACATAACTGACAATCATAATGCATGACGCAGCAAAATTAAGTTAAGAATCGTTATTAAAAACACCAGAATAAAGGAACAGTGGACTTTTTTATCCGCACATTTTATGGGGCAGAAACACAAAAACTGATGACTTGTGACTGTGCTCCAAATGGCTTCCAGCATGTTGAAATTGAAAAGGGGAAAAAGCTGTGGTTTGGAGTACTGAAAGCCAAGAAGCTTCACAATCTCTTGCCATGACACACAGCCCACAGAATGAGTAGAGCGAGGAGATGGACAACAAACAGTAAATGGCCCATTTGTTGGCCCTTGTCTTTCTTTATGTTGAGCAAATGCAGATGGTAATAATCAAGTCACCCAGCGACTGCTTAAAAGAGATCTGTGTCCTGAGAAATTCTTTAATTCACAGCACAAGTGGAAAATCTGAAATTAATGTAGAGTATAAGAGGCTGCAGTGAGGGACAGCAGAAAATGAAAGCAAAGGGCGGTGTGTGGAGCATGTGTGCGAGAAGAGTCATATATAGGTCTTGAATTCATTAACCTCAGTCAAGTTTCCTCTTTCTCTGACTGGACAGAGCTTTTCCCGGATCAGTTCTGGTTTATTCTCCTTCCCCTCAATCATCCTCTCCACCCACACTCCCCATTCCTCTGCCCCTTTGACCATAATAGCTTCTTACCCCCCCCAACCCCCCCCCCCCCCCGATTACTCCACTCCTTTTTCCTATAGCCACTTGTTCTTCTCAACTCCATAGTCCCATCCTCCCACTACTAATAGGTCTGCTTCCAGTAAATTGCTACACAGATGGTCTAGCCAGTAGAGGCTCTGTATGGCCCAGGAAACAAGCTGTGCAAGAGATGGATTGAAGAGGAAACAAAAAAGATTGAGATGGATAGAAAAACAGCAAAGACCTATCTAAGGAAGCGAAAGCTATGTAACAAAACAAAAGCTTTAAAAAGGGGGAGAGAAAAGAGATTTATAAAAGGCTGAAGGAAGAAAAGGAATGGTACACAAACAGATGTTGACAGCTCAGAATTACTATAAGATAAGAAAAGCAGGAGTAATAATAAGATTGAACAAACCACGACAGCAAATCAAAAAGCGAGTGGGCTCTGCTCTTTCAGCACAAATTAATAAAGGTCATGTCTGTTGATGTTGTATGATATCAAGTCATTAAGCCTCATGACTAAAAACATCTTAGGAAAATGGCAAAGTTCCAAAGAGCACAATTTTCCACAAACATCAGATTAATGACTGCATTTACACACACAGTGTAGAATAATAATCGAGGAACACTAGAACCTAATTTTGCCTTTACTATGATAAACGCAGTTATTTAAAGCATCTGTATTCATGTCTAACTGACAGACATTTTAGGATTGATTCTTTTGGAGAAGCAGCACACATTCTTGTACTAAGGTCGGGGAACAGTTTGCTCACCAGTTACACATTAACATTTGAGGCAATGTGATACTGAGGCACTTTTCTCCCAGAGCCCAAAATTGTTTTACTTTGGCACTTATGTTTACAAGGCAATAAAGATCAGTAAGACTTGCCATCAACGTACTGGGGATTAGCTTAGAAAAAAAAAAAAGCAAAGATTCATCAATTAAATGACAATTGCATTAATGACCATTTGCTGCCACTCCTGGAATGACTCATTTGGCCAGATGAGTAATAACTACTGAATACACAACTTCACACCTCCTCACAGACTCCTCACACAACAACCACACCTGTACAGCCACTGAAACACCCAAATCTCTTGTATAAAATAATTAGGTCATACCCCTTCAGTTCAGCCATGCAAAAGTTACAAGTTGAACTTGCCTCACCTTTCAACTGAGCTTTCACTCCTGCTGCCCTCTTTTGTATTTCTTCTCCTGTGGTCTCTTGTAGTTACAAATCTCACACAGAAAGGAAGCCAAGTAGTGTAGAGTAACCTGGCTGAAAACACAATGTTTGGATTGTGCCTTCTTTTGGAAAATGTCAAGCCTTAGGGTGAATTAACCAATGTGCAGAGCCCTTGGGACAGTGCTGAGCAGCTCCATTATCATCACTCAATTTATATGGACTGAGAATCGTATGAAGCCATTAGCAAATTGGGAACCATACAACTGAGATCTAATTTTTAAAAAAGCAAGTACAAATCTATTTCTTTTCATATCACTTTTGTACAAATTGTCAAAGCAGAAAACCAACTAGAAAAGCTAACTAGGTGGCTACTCCTGATAAATCCTGCTGGATTTTAATCTTGATGTCGTTTTTGTAAAAAAAAAAAAAAATTAAAATCAGGTCAAACTTGCTCCTTGAAGAAAGTTGGTGGATCCGTTTGTAAATAAACCCCACCCAGTTTATTCAGAGAGGAGGGAGCAGTGAGACAGGGAGTTCGGTTGGCACTGTGACGTGCATGGCATGGCACAGTTTTGCCAGTCCAGCTACTAATGCCAGGGGCTTAGCAGACAGCAGCATGAATCACATTCCTCATGTGATGACCCCTTTCTGGGCAAGTAAAGGCATCATCTCTGACCAGCTGAAAACTACGTGACGCAGCACAGAGGAAGTGAATGGATCATTCAAATCCTATCCACACACACACACAGATTGTGATGTTTTACTAAATAACAGCAAGACCGCTCTACAGCCTTGGTGTTCGTTTTTTTATCCATCAGAAAATGTCACACTGGACACCAATACTAGACTCAATTTGGTGCATCTTCAAGCTGTTGACACCTAGCTGGGGATATGCTGGGTCAGAGTTCCAGATTTTATGTTCAGAAAAATGACTACACAACAATATCAGCAGCACTTTCAAAATGGTCTGTCTGGTCAAGATAACAACCTCATGCATTTTGATGAAATACAAAGAAAAAAAAAAAAACCTCTATTGTCTCCCTTTCTCTCAGTCCACATTTGCATAACAAATCCTAGTTCACTGAAGATTTAAACCATATTGAGGATGCAGCATGTCTTCTTTCTTGCCAGCTCCACATAGCTAATATCACAATTAGCTCAACACCCATGGTGACAATTACAATGAGTTGCAAGTATTGTGATGACGTAAACGAAAGGCACGACAGATGAAAAAGCTGCAGCAGTATATGTTCAGCCAAAGCAGGAGAAAGGTGTGTGTTTATAAATGCAGCCACCACTTTGTAAGATTGTTAGAGGGAGTCGGTCTAGACAGAGAAAGAACTCAGTGGCCTCAGTGGTATTTACATTCCACTTCTTCTAATAAATAAATATGGCCTTATGCGTCATTAAATCTTACTCCTGACCTGTCTTGAGGCAGTTAAATTACATCTGTTGTACCCCATCTCTCAGTCTGTTGCTCTACACGTCCAGACATTAGTTGTGGTGCCTGACAAAATGGGTCACTTTTAATACTGTGTCTAATACAAGCAGAGAGGGATTTAGCTGTGTTGAGAGCATGGCAGGGGTTTGGAATGCATTGTGCAGACTGCTGGAGGTGGTGGTGGTGGAGGGGGGCGGTTGATACTGATGCACAGGCTTAATGTCATCTGTAGATCTACCCCAGACTGCTGTCACAATGCCGCAATTATAAAAAGAGCAAAAAGACAATACACATTAGGAGTGGACAGATTAATGGCGTGCCTAAACTGTAGGTAAATACTAACACATGCCAGTGAAGGAAAATTAGGAACATATTTCTGCTCTTCAAGATTTTCCTTATGTGCCTTTTTGTATCAGAGCTGAAGTGTTTAGTCAATCAACAGAAAAATTATTGGAAGCAATTATGATAATTGATTTAGTTATTCAAGACATTTTAAAACAAAACAATCATCTCTTTCCAGCAGCTCACTGGTGACAATTTCCTGATTTTCTTTGCCAGATGTGAAAGTAAATTATAACAATATTAATAAAAAAATTATAATAATAATGTCAACATAACAAAAAAAAACACCCCATCAAGTTCAAGAAAATAAACAAAAAAAAAAGAAAGAAAAAAAAGTCAAATTTAAATCAATATTTGCACATGAAACTTCCTTTGCCCAATGTTGACTGTCTACTTTAAGATTCATGTCAATGCTGCATCTGCTCCAAGATGAGTAATGGTAGAAAGTGAATGCCTGAAGCAGCAGCAGTATCAAGAGCACATCTGACCCATCCACATTCCAGTTCTGCTGACTTCCTCAAGAGACTTCAAGGCTACACAGTGACAGCTGGCCGTGTGCATGTCTGACCAAGTAGGAGTGAAAGGGTCATAGGGAGGCTAGTGAATGTGTGTGCACTAGGGTTGGGGGTTGTTGTTGGGGGCAATTTTTGTCATTTTATTTTGCTAAATTAGTGGTCTTCAACTCAGTAAATAATTAACCTGTAAAGTGCACTTCAAAGTTTACGCCAATAGGAACTGCCAGTTGGAGCTGAGCACGTTCTTCTCGCATCAATTTCCGTCTTTCACAAATAGTGCAGTGAGTAGATGACAATTAAACTGTCTTTAGTGGTTGCTGTCCAATCGATTGGCGCCGAAAAGCAACATCAATTTATTAATAGCATAATAGTATCTGGCAACTAGACCCAAAACTGTGCGTGCGATTACGCTCCGTGATCATTTAATAGCATGTTATCCCCACCCGTTTGTTCACTTGGAAGCTGCAAGCGGAGGCGTCCTTCATCCAACGCTATGGGACTCTTTTTCAAATAGTGAGAGACGGCTGTTCAGCCTGTCCCTACAGCTTATTGCTCAGCTAAGATCTCAAGGTGATCTATTTTGTTTAATTGAAGAAAAGCAGCCTATGTGCCATGATGTTTCAGTAGAATTT